CCCCCTCAGGTGAGACCCCACCTGCAGAGCTGCCTCCAGATATGGGGCACCAACTTCAGAAGGACGTGGAGCTGCTGGAGCGAGTCCAGAGGAGGCCACAGAGATACTCCAAGGCTGGAGCCCCTCTGCTCTGGAGCCAGGCTGGGACAGCTGGGGGTGTTCACCTGGAGAAGAGAAGGCTCCAGGGAGACCTGAGAACCCCTTCCAGTGCCTAAAGGGGCTCTAAGAGAGCTGGAGAGGGACTTGGGACAAGGGATGGAGGGACAGGGCAGGGGGGAATGGCTTCCCACTGCCAGAGGGCAGGGTTAGATGGGATATTGGGAAGGAATTCCTGGCTGTGAGGGTGGTGAGGCCCTGGCACAGGTTGCCCAGAGAAGCTGTGGCTGCCCCATCCCTGGGAGTGTCCAAGGCCAGGTTGGATGAAGCTTGGAGCAACTTGGTCTACTGGAACGTGTCCCTGCCCATGTCAGGGGGATTGGAATAAGATGGGCTTTAGGATCCCTCCCAGCTCAAACCACCCTGTGATCGGTGACTCAAGGCAATGCCCAGATTTGCCTGGTAAAGCTCCCAGGCACTGTGTGATAGAGATGGCAGCTGCATCCCCTAAGGGGAAGGGTCTCAGCCAGTAGGTCCTGGTGTTGCTCCACAGCTTGTCCCGTCTCTCCCCTCGGGCAGTTCCACCACCGTGACCCTGGAATCGTGGGGCTGCTGACCAGTGACAAGATTCCTGCTGGGCGGAGGGTCTTCTACGGGATGATCTCTGATGGCATCCACACCAACCCTGCCGCCCTGCGGATCGCCCACCGAGCCCACCCCAAAGGTGAGCCACACCGGTGTCACCAGCCCCTCCAAGCACTGGGCCACCTCCCACAAGACACTCGTGCTGCCCTCGCTGCCTGGAAGGTCACAGCCACGTGTGCTGATACCCTCGCACTTTGGTGGGATGTGGCTGGAGACACCATGGCCCCTCTCTGGGAGGGCCAGCGGGGCACAGTGCTTAGAGCTGCAGCAAAATCAGCTGCAAAGCTGACAGGGCTCCTTTGCTTGTGTTGCTCAGGCCTGGTGCTGGTGACAGATGCGATTGCTGGCATGGGGCTGGCACCGGGGCGGCACACGCTGGGGCAGCAGGTGGTGGAGATTGATGGGCTGAACACCTACATCGCAGGTAAGGGCCTCTTGCTGGAGAGCTGGGGACAGCACTGCCACTGATGCCCATTCCTGGGGAGCTCAGCACAGCTGGCTGGCCCTGCCAGTATGAGGCAGTGCTTGTGCCAGCCTCTCAGGTTTTGGTGCCTGGTGGATCTGCAGTGACTTGGCCCTGGGGAGAACAAGGTACCTGGTAAGGAGAGGAAGTGCCCTACCTCTGTGGAGTGGGGAGGAATCTGTCCATTTGTAGCTGTCTGCAACACCTTTGAAAGCCTCACTGCCCAGTGTCATGTATGCAGAGGGTCAGAAAGGACAGAGAAATCTTAAGAGATATTTATTGTCCCTTTTCTTTATTACATCACTACCATTTCTTGCTAACTAAATTCCCTAAGTTTCAAGTACCCAAGCAGTTAGAGACTGGTATTTCAGAGAAGGATCCATTCACCTCTGGCAGCAGGTACCTGCGTTGTGAGCTGGTTTCACCCAGTACAGCTGGTCTGGTGGTGGAGCTGGAGGGTGACACCCCAGTACCTCTCCCTGCCCTGCCAGCACCTCTCCCTTGCCTCAGTCTGTCCCTTGGCAGCAGTGGCTGTGGGCCCTTCAGCTTGCCCCTCCTGCCACCCATGATTTCTGCCCTTCTGGTCCCGTTATGCTTCCCTACTGCCCCCCTTCTCGTTGCTGTGAGCTGTGGGAGCTGCTCAGAGCCATCCTATTCCTCTCCCAGGCACAAAGACCCTGAGCGGTAGCGTGGCGACCATGGATACGTGTGTGCGACACTTCCAAGAGGCCACAGGTAAGGCAGCCTTGTCCACAAGCTGTTGCTCCCTATGTTGATGTGGGAGGAGGTCTTGCTCTTGCCAGCTGTGTCCATTCCACCAGGAACATTCCCTCTCACCTGAGACATGAGACGGGCTGGGATCAGTGCCCTCAGATGAGCGCCTTTTTGAGGGGAGGTTTCATTTTAACCCATAGCACTAATGAGAGGTGAACTCTCCTGCTCCTTCCTCACAAAGGTGGAATGGTTTTCCCCTCCCCATACCCTTGGTGTTCAGTTCTTCTGTTCCTGCTATCTCCTGTAGGGATATTTCCCTTCCCAGCTTCATCTGGCTGTGGTGAGGGTGTGCCCAGCTGACAGTTGCCTTGGCCAGGGGAATTTGGGTTGCTCTGGCAGTGGGGCTGTGGCTGCCCTAACCATCTCCCCAACTCTCTGTGCAAGGATGCTCCGTAGAGACGGCGTTGGAGGCAGCATCTCTGCATCCTGCCCAGCTCCTGGGGATTGAACACAACAAGGGGACACTGAATTATGACTCCGATGCAGGTACTGGTATGGGGATAGGAGGTATTGGTATGGGGACAGGAGTTATTGGCATGGAGACAGGAGGTACTGTTATGGGGACAGGAGATGTTGGTATGGGGACAATGGTGTCAGGGCTCCTGAGCGCTGGAGCAAAGCAGAGGCTGCTGCACATCTTCATCCCCTGTTTCGCTGGGAGCTGCAGGGAGACTCACTCTTCCTGGGATTTGCTCTGGGCTTTTATTCCAGTGGTTATCCCCTTGTATGCTTGGTTTGGGAAACCCTTTGGAGTGCCCCCCATGCCTCAGCCAAGCATGGAGCAGAGCTGCCATAGCCAGGGTGGCACCACACTGCCCTCCTACTGCTGTGTCTGGGGTGGGGAGAGGCTGTTCCCTACTGAGCTCAGCTCTCCCCAGCCAGCTCTAGCAGCTCCATTCCTCTGACAGCTGCTTCCTTTCCCTCTTGTCCAACGCAGATTTCCTGATGCTGAACGACAGCCTGTATGTGCAAGCCACGTACATCGCCGGCCAGGAGGTCTGGAGACAGGACGCGTCAGGCATGTGACACTGGGCTGTCCCAGTGCCCTCCGAGGCTCCCTGGCACTGTGGTTAGCAGCTCTGGTAACCACCCCACTCCTCCCTCTTTTTTTTTTAATCCCAATTCCTTCCTGCAACTCCCTTAAAGGAGCCTCATACCAAAGAGCTGCGTTTTCCAGCTTCCAGTTACAGCCATGCCTGCCACGAATTTGTTGGTGCTCAGTTGGTGGCATGGGGAAAGCAGGCAGCTCTGTGCTGGCAGGGAATTCCACTCCTGGAGTGGCCTGAGGGACTGCACAGCTGTCCTGCCCCTAGACAGGTGCTCCTGTCACCATCTGACAGCAGTGAGGAGCTGTTCCAGCCTTTGCACTGTTTATACAGCACACACTAACCTGCCCCATGCCCAAGGCAGGCTCAAGCCATTCCCATTCCTCTGCCTGCTCTTTGCCTTGCTCCTGGGCAGCCATGGCTTGTTAGACATCATCTTCCACCAGCTCAGCTCGCAGCTCTTCCCATGACAAGCTTCCTGTTGTGTCAGAAGAAGCTGTCGGGATTTGGGTCTCCCGACAGCCCTTCTGTGGTGTGTCCTCAGAGCAGGGCTGTCACAGCTCACCGACTCAGTGCTGTTGTGGGACTGAATCCTCAGGGCAGAGATCAAAACCAGGAAAACCAAGGCATTGCTGGTCCTTTGTGCCTTTTCCCTGTGTGGGCATTGAGTCCACAGCGCTGGAGACATGGACAGTATCCTGCGTCAGAAAGCAATGCTCCTTTCACCCCTGGCTCTGGCTGGATGGGTCCTGCAGGCTCTGTGCCACCCATATGAAGTAGGGCCTTTGCATCCCCTGATGGGTCTGTGCATTCCTCAGGCCATGGACTGGAAGCTTTTGCTTTAGGGGATGCATCCAAACTGGTGGTCATGGGCTCACGAGCCCCCAGTCCAGCTCAGGAACTGAGGGAGAGGAGGACTGCAGTGGGATTCTGGCCTTTCAAGACAGTTGTGATAGCTCATTATTCAGTGCTCATTACTATCTTCTCCAATACTTGACTGTCAGCTCTTTTCCTGACACTTGGACACTTGCATGTGAGGACTGATGCTGATTTTGAACCTACTACGGACAGAATAAGCCTTGAGATAAGTCTTAGACAACCTCTGACAAGGCTCAAACCAATGAGATGGTTTTTGTGGTGAGGAGAGGACTTAGACAATAGCTAAGTCTCTGCAAGGATGGAGGTTGTAAGGCAGATAGGAGTCTGGTCAGGATTGGCAGGAGTGTGCTGATTTTTCCAGTACCGTTTTATAACCTTTAACAGCAACATTTGGAAGTGCTTTCCCAGCATTTTAGAGCCCTGCTGGAATCACTGGCAGCCTTGGAGAATTTCTAACATCAGCTGCCAATGTCAGCAGAAATTATAATGTCCACAGTTTGAAGCATTTGAGAGAGACATCACACCCTCTGCTGTGACACGCGCAGGCTGCCGCGGCACCGGCCTCAGTGGGGATCTTCTAGCGGCTGTTGAAAACAATCCGAGGGGAAAAAAATGTATATGAAACAAGGTGTCTAACTTTTTATTTACAAAATTAAATAATCAAAAGGAAATCTAAAATAGAGACGGGATTAGACAGCACCTGTGGGTGTGTATTGACCCTTTTTGCCTGCTGACAACAGGCTCTACCCTGCTCATGGAGGTGGGCAGTGGTATGGCCTATGTCCTGCTGGGGTGTGAGGGCCAGGGGCTGGTGTGGGCATTCCTGCCAGGATTTGGCCCAGGGACAGGGGCACTGCCAGACATGTCCTGGGGGGCATCAGGCCCAGTATCGCCGGCCGGGCCACGGAGGGGATTGTCCTGCTCTGCTCTGCCCTGGGGCGGCCTCCCCTGCAATACTGGGGCAGTTTGGGGGGACACAATGTAGGGAAGATATTGAGCCATTAGAGAGTGTCCAAAGGAGGGCAACGAAGATGGGGAAGGGTCCTGAGGGGAAGCCGTGTGAGGAGCAGCTGAGGGCACTTGGTGTGTTCATCTGGAGGAGAATGAGGGGAGACTTCACTGCAGTTCCAACTTCCTGAGGAGGGGCAGGCCCTGAGCTCTGCTCTGGGGGACCAGGGGCAGGACCCAGGGAGTCGCCTGGAGTTGTGTCATGGGAGCTTTAGGTTGGATATTAGAAAAGGTTCTTCCTCCAGAGGGTGGTTGGGCACTGACCAGGCTCCCCAGGGCAGTGGGCACAGCCCCAAGGCTGCCAGAGCTCCAGGAGGGTTTGGATGATCCTCTGGGGCACAGGGGGTGAATCCTGAGGATGGTTCCGTGCAGGCTGACGGTTGGGCTCGATGACCCTTGTGGGTCCCTTCCAACTCGGCCCGTTCTGTGATTCTGTGGCACCCCCGGGCGGGCAGGGCACACACGGGTGTCCCACAGCTCCCTGTGGGGCTCAGGGGAGCGGGGGCAGTCCCGAAGGGACAAACGCGCTGCCAAGGTGGGCGCTGGGCTGTGCCGGGAGCCGTCCGGTTCCTCACGGCCGGAACGGGCCTGCGGAGCGCTGAGGGCTCGCACAGCGAACCGCCCAGGGGCGGCGGGGACAGCCGGGGGAGGCCCCGGGGAGGCCCCGGATCCCACACGCTGCCCGTGACCGGAGGTGGGCGGTGCGGCGGGGCCGCTTCCTCCCCGGCGCGGAGCGGCATGGAGCGGGTAAGGACCCCAAAAGGTGCTCCTCAAAGCAGCGCCGATGCCTTCCCCAGCCCCTCCTTACCTCCTTGTCCCGAACATTCCTTCCACACACACCCGCCCCGCGGGCTGCAAAGCCTTCACTTCCACCTGCTTAGCAGGATGCGGGCGGCGTAAAAATACAGCACAGGGCGCAGAGCTGTGTGAAAGGGAAGTTTCCTGCCGAGGAGACATTGTGCCGTAATAAGCTTCAGGATAAAATGAGAAGTTTTTTGGGTGGGCCTTTAAAAAGGAGAAGGAGGAGAGAAAGAGGGAGAAAAAAAAATCTGTGGGAAGTCCTGGCTTGCCAGGAGCGGGCGGGGGGGGGGGTGTTGTTCCTGCTAGTAGGAGTTTATGGCTGTGATTTTTGTAATGCAGAGGGCTCATTTGGTGCTCTCCGCACAGGACACGTGTCCCTGTGCTGGTTGATGGTATAAATGAGCAGTTGCACAGTGCACCTCCAGTGTAAAGCCAGATCTGATCTATGAGAGGGGAGAGGGCTTCAGAAAGTCAGGTTTGGAATCAGTTTTGGAGACGAGAGATTTGTGCTTCTTTTAGACATTCTTCCTTCCCCATCCCATGTCCAAGGCTCCCCAGGGTGTGTTCCAGGAGGAGCTGAAGTGGTGCATTTCGCAGCTGGAGGCAGATCTCCACCTCACCCCACCCCCAAAACCAGGTATGTTCCTCTTTCCCAGCCCACACATCCCATATTCCAGCCTCAGGTCTGATTTAGCAGATTTGGACATTTCTCTGTTTCTTCTCTCCCTTCTGTTCCCTGTTCTTTTGTCATTTGGGATTTGCTCTAAATACAAAACAACTTAAAGCATTGAATTTTAAGGGCTGTCTATCTGGAAGCAGCTTTACCTTTCATTCCTGTACTGTTCATTCTCCCTGTGTTCTGTATCCTTTCTCATGTTCTCATTTTCCCATCTAATGGCTTGTTTGGTTCTGCTACAGCTCTGCCTTTGTTTTCCATCTTAACTGTGCCAGTGTGTCTGGCCCTTAAACACCAGTAGGTGTTTTTATTTTTGTGAAGCTTGTTCCGAGGAGAAATTACATGGAAGATAAAATCCTATAAAATATTTTTCATAAGGTCACAGATTGATCTTATCAGTACAACTTGTAGAGAAATGCAGACTCACGTCCTGCTCCTGGCCACTACTTAACCTGTAGAGGAGGGGTGTGAACCATCTGTAAAGTGCCCAGGTGAGTGTTTGCTGGTTCACCTGAGATGTAGCAGTAACTAATATGTGCCCACACATGGTGCTTGAGTATCAAGCTCCAAGAATTAAGGCTGGGAGAGCTGGGAGTGTTCAGCCTGGAGAAAAGAAGGTTCCAGGGAGACCCGAGAGCTCCTTCCAGGGCCTAAAGGGGCTCCAGGAGAGCTGGAGAAGGACTTGGGACAAGGGCCTGGAGGGACAGGACAAGGGGGAATGTCTTCCCACTGCAAGAGGGCAGGGTTAGATGGGATATTGGGAAGGAATTGTTGACTGTGAGGGTGGTGAGGCCCTGGCACAGGTTGCCCAGAGAAGCTGTGGCTGCCCCATCCCTGGGAGTGTCCAAGGCCAGGTTGGACGGGGCTTGGAGGTGTCCCTACCCATGTCAGGGGATGGACGAGCTTTACTGTCCCAACCAACCCAAACTATTCTATGATCAGACCGTTTTGTTACCTCTATGTCCTGTGCTGATCTCCAGTGCTCAGCAGCAGGGAAGGCAGCTCCTGGAGGGGAGGCAGGAGCTGAGTCCAGGGATGAGGCAGCAGAAGCAGTGGCCTGGCCAGAAAGGAGCCCCTTTGCACAGAGCCTGAGCCAGGAGAGCAGGGCAGTCCTGCTGATGGTACCCAGGCTCTGCCTGGAGTCCCAGTCACTGAAGGAGTGTGCAGTGAGGAGGCAGATCCAAGCTCTAGCCAGGAATTCAGTGTCTGGATCCATGAGTTATCTGGCTGCAGCAGTGTCTGCATGAGATCCTGGACTGGAACCAGACCAACCCCTTGAAATAGGGGTACACGTGTGCTCAGGACCCTGATACCCAGGTGCTGTGAAGAGACATCCCACTTCTGTCCCACCGTGTCCTAGGGGACATCGGGCCCAGCATTGCCAGCCGGGCGAGGGAGGGGATTGTCCCCCTCTGCTCTGCACTGGGGCAGCCTCACCTGCAATATTGGGGCAGTTTTGGGTGCTGCAGTATAAAAAAGATCTGAAGCTGTTAGAGAGTGTCCAAAGGAGGGACACAAGGATGGTGAAGGGTCGGGAGGGGATGCCACAGGAGGAGCTGCTGAGGGCCCTTAGTCTGTTCAGCTGGAAAAGAGGAGACTGAGGGGAGACCTAATCAGGGTCTGCAGCTTCCTCAGGAGGGACAGCTCTGATCTCTGCTCTCTGTGACCAGGGACAGGACCCGAGGGGACAGCTGAAGCTGTGTCAGGGGAGGGTTAGGCTGGATATTAGGAAAAGGTTCTTCCCTCAGAGGTGGTCGGGCATTGCAGCCAGGAGAGGTGGGACGTGCCCATTCCACAGTACTAGTGCAGTACATCATGCTGTCTTGTGGCTGGAAATGAGTGAGACAAACACTACAAGACTATACGTAGGGCACCCGAACTGAGGTCTTGGGGGACTACTGTCACAGAACAGCTGTGCTTTTTAGAGAATTTGCTCTGACACAAAAAATTTGGATCCCTCTTGTAGTCAGGCTGGTTTCTATGAGAGCCAGGCAAGAGTCCTACTTTTCAGGGTGTGCTCTCTACTAAGATTTTCTCCAGTTTTTCAGAAAAGACACACAGAGCTGGGCCCTGGGATTTGTATTTGCCTTGAGGAGAGGGTTGCTGAGCCCTATGTAACTTCTATGCCATTAGCAGTGCACTTACTGCAGTGTAAGAGTCTGACTGTATGTAATAAGTAGTTAGATTCTCCCCCCCAAGAACATTTCACAGTATTTCATCTTCTAGAAGCGCTTGGAGTTCCCTTTCAACCAAATGCCAGTTGTGGATTAGTCAGAGGTGATATGAACACAGAGCACATTTCAGAGAAGACTCAGTCATCAGCATCCCACAGTGGGGATTTTGAGGCCCAGCATAACCTGTTTCTTGTCTCTCTTGGATTTTTTCTGAGTGCAGTAGAGGAGACCCAGCACATTCTCAAGGTCCTGCGCTCCCCTGAGACTCCTCTTGCAAAGAAGCAACAAGTGATGAGTGATGTGTTTGGGGATTATTGTCTCAGCATGGCTGAGGGTCAGGAGAGCATGGAGAAAGCAGGTGAGCTTGAGCTGTCATTCAGGGGATGGTGAGACTTGATTCTTCTCTGTAGATTTCTTAGGTTGTTCTTTTGATTGAGTCAACTCTCTGGGCAGTGCCTTAGAGAGGGAGCTGCAGTGGCATCCCTGTGGTAGGAAACTGGTGTATTGATAGAAACAATACTCTTTGTCTTTTCTAGGCATGAAACCTGGTGCTCTGGAAGTACAGCCAAGCAGTGGGCAGGCTGCAGATGGTATGAAACAGTCTGACCCAAGCCCTGAGGCAAAGCCAGAGCTGTTCACATCATCTGGCAGCAGCTTCCAATTTGATTTTACACTTTCCGAGACCAACCCAGGAGCAGACCCTGGTGACAGCAGAGCTGTCACAGCCACCAAGCAGGAGAGCTGGAATGGAGCCTTGAGGTTTGCTGCCTCTGGACAAGAACCCAAGTTTGCTTTCAACTTTGCCATCCCAGATGAAGACTGTCCTCAGCTCCAGCTACTTCCCTCAAGCCAACATACAGATCCTTCACTGCCTGCTGAAGCAGCAGCCCTGCCACGGGCTGCAGCCGTGTGGGAGCCCGAGGTGACTCAAGCTGCAGGGAGTGCACCCAAAGAGGACAGAAGCCATGTCACATCAAAGATCCTCCAACCAGAGACTGCTCCTGCAGATGAAGCAGCAACAGTGAAATCAACAGACGAAGCTGCCCAGAAGAAGAAAAAGAAGAAGAAACAAAAACCACCAGTCAGTAAAACGGAGAGAGAAGAAACTGAGACCAGCAGGAAAGCAAAGACAGAAGCTAAGAGCTGTCAAAATACAAATACTTCCCATCACGATGAGAAGACCTCCCAGGTAGTTAAATATTGATGAGATCCCATAATTTATAAACCCTTAACCTAAAGAGGCACTTTATCGCTTTACACAGATGAACAATTAGCATACTGCCTTGAGATGAGAGCTGAAAGACTGGGGTTGCTGCTTGCTTCTTCCAGCAGCTGTTTGCTTTCTCTGCTACACAGCTGAGGAGCCTGACTAGTGGAAAGGGAGTTAATGGTCCTTCAGACTTGTGCTGGAGCATTTCATGTTTAGGCTTGTGACAGCTAATCCTGGGGAGCTGGATGCCATGTTTTCTTAAGGAAATGAAAATAAGAAATGGAGGTAACTGCCCTCAGTCAGTGCCTGTGGGTGCCGAACCAGGCCCTGCTCCTGTTGCCAGGCAGGATGAATTGCTCACATACTGCAAGTAGCAAAGCCAAGGCACAGAGCTGCCACCTGGTGTAGCCAGGGGTCTGGGGTGAAGCTCAAGGTGCTTCTCAGAATGCTCCCACTGTAGGGCATGGCCCAGAAATCCACTGAGGTTGCAAGTTATGTGTCAACACACCATTAAGGCACACCCTGAGGTTTTCTGTTCTGCTGAGGGTCTGGGTCTTCATTTTATTTTACTTCTCAGCACCAGTGTAGGTATTATTAAGAAACAGTGCCAGCTGAGCAATATTGAAATGGAAGATTGCACAAAATCTTCCTTTCTTAATATTCTTCAAGGAAATTGCACTGAGTGTTCACCCGCCTCTGGAACATTCCATCCTACCAATAAACACTGCTGAGTACAGGAGAGGTAGGAAGATTGGAAGGTGAGGTAAAGCCCTTCCAGTCCTTTGGAAGGAGACTGTTGTAGGTGAGGGCTTTTGTGTTTACATATACATAACAGTTACAAATTACTTCGGTCCCAGGGTGCAGCCCTGTTTTCCTGTCCCGCTGCTGAGTTAGCCAGCTGGCTTTGCTCGATGGGACTTGGTTTCCTCAATCTCCATGGGCTTCAGCTTCCTTCTCCTCATGTATTTCTGGTTTAGCAAGCATGCAGGAGCTGAGAAAAAAAGACTTATTTGTCCATTGTTCACTTTTTTTGATTTTATGCAGGTCTGGTGATAGGGTTTTTTTGTTGTTAATGCTTATTTCTCCCATCTGTAAGTGTATCTGACAGCTTCTTTCAGAGGAAAGGCACTGAACAGCTTTCCAGAAAACAGCACCCTCTGAATGGCAGCCACATATTAAACCCATCAAATAGAGGCAGTGAGTTGCAACTAAACAATTATGCAGTGCTTTTAGTTTATCCAATGAAAAACACTAGAGGGAAAATGTCATGGAGTCTGTAAACTGATCACCAGCACGTGATGTTGAGAATAGTCCTGACTTTATGCAGTTCCCTTTTATCTCGTGTAGCAACTGCTGCTTTAATTTTTGGGTGACTTATTTCCTCTTGCTCCCTGTGCCCCACGTTGATGGCAGTCAGATGAGCAGCTGCAGAAGGAGCTGGACTGGTGTGTGCAACAGCTGGAACTTGGCTTGAAGACACAGAAACCCACTCCAAAGCAGGGTAGGCATTCAAATAAAGGCGAGCTCTCTCTTGTGGGAAGGGATGGCAGGAATGCAGGGGCAGAGCCAGCAGGAAGCCTTAAGCTGTGTGCTGTTCCTCCTTTGCTGCAGCTGAAGAGGCTCTCCGGGCCATCAGGACACTGCGCAGTGACAAGGCTCCACTGGTAAAGAAGCGGCAGCTCATGAGAGCCATGTTTGGAGACTACAGGAAGAAGGTGCAGGAGGAGCTGTGCAGGGAGCTGAAGCTCATGGAAACAGGTAGGAGAACTTCTCATAGTGAGGAGAAGAAGAAGAAGAAGAAAGGGACTCACTCCTGCCCTGCAGATTGTTTTGCAGAGTGGAGCCTCGCTATGTGAGATCACTAAACATCTCTAACGGCTCTTTTCTCCCCTCTTTAAGCTGCAAAGACTGCCAGGATCGTAGAGGTGAAGGGAAGCATCCGCAAGAAGAATGGCAAATTCATCCGGAAGTGCTCGGGAGCTTGCAGGAAAAGCCAGGGTTCAGCAGGATTCCCTTCAGAGTCACCCAGGACGCTTTACACAGGTTTATTCAATGACACAGCTTCCAAAGAAGAATTTCGCTTTAATTTCTTCTAGGAAAGTGTCTTAGACTAAAACTGTGGTAAAAAATCCCTGTGCCAGATCCCCTGTAAACTGCAGAACGGTGGAGAGATGCTGTGCAGTAGGAAATGTCATCAGTAAGTCTCTTGATTCTGTTCCAGAGTGCCTTATCTAGAAATCTAAACCAAATCTGCCTAGTACCGTATGACCCCAAGACTCAGCCAGCGTAGTGCTCCTCTGTGCTCACACTGTAGAGAGGCACCTTTGAAAGGGTCAGCAGTGAAAGGATCTGGTTTTCTTCCTGTAGAATTTACATTAACTGTAAAATCTCTCTTTTATACCATGAGATTTTCCCATTCTCCCGTGGTTTTTAAATAGAGCAGAGCTTTCCTAGCAGCTGAGGCAGCCATGCACACAGAGGGGAATGGTTTGGAAAGAAGATGCAGCTTCTGTGAAGATCCAGCAGTGGATATTTGGATGCTTCCACTCCATGAGTCTGTGTGAATGCGGCTTCTGGCATCCAGCAAACACCAGCAATGCCATCAATGACATCGAGGGAGTGGAACTCAGGGTCTGGGGAGAGAGTGCGTGAGAACTATTTTTGCTGATTCATCTCTTTCAATGGCAGAAACAGACTTAGAATAAAACTGCAAATGCTGGTTTAATCCAGCCTAGGGATGTAAGGACAGTTGTTTCCAGACAGGGAAAGGTTTTTGTTGCTGGAGCCAGGTTCTGGCCAGCTAGGAAGGGAGTACAATGAGCTCTTAAATAAAGTTTACTTTGTAAGTAGTCCAGTTACAGCCACCAGTGACTCAGAGGTAAAATCAACTGCGTGCCAACCTTGGGTGGTGGTGAAATGAACTGTCAGAGCCTAAAGACTCTCTTCCACTTGATTTGCATTAAATTTTGGCTTTTTGAATGTGTGTCTCCAGTGTTTCCATACTACTTCAGTCACTGAAGCCATCTCCTGTGTTCCTACAGAAAATCTTCCCACCAAGCCTAAAAAAGCTGAAGGAAGAGAAGTGCTGCAAAAGGCTATGTGGTATCAGGTGTCCCTGGGGAGCAGTGCTTTCCTCCCTTTTATGGTCCAGTCAACCTGTGTGAGAAGTGAGAAATGGGAGTGTGGGCAGATTCCAGGGAGAGCAGCTGAGAGATGGTGGAAAATACTGGCTGGCAAAGACTTTAAAAAACCTGATGTTGGCTCCAAAAAATTAATTTTATTACTAAGCCCTGACGCAGGCAGTGGCATCTGCAAGAATATTTTTTTATTATTTTAAAAGAATATTTTAAAGAATTCCTGTCTGAGAAACTGAACCTGGATAACATGTACGACAGGGAAAAATATACAGAGCTGACTTTATGTCTTCTTGAAGTCAATGGGTAAAAACTGGAAATCAAGGTTGGCATATTATTTTATTTGCCAAGGAGCACAACTTTGACTGTGTGGAACAACCTTAGACAGTTTTTTTTTAGTTTTGATTTCCAGGATTTTTTATTAAACATACAAAAGCTGTGTCCTTGTCAAACTTTTAGTGTTTTCATGCCATTTAGTGAGATAAAAGAGCATCTTGTACATGACCTTGGAACTACAGCTGTTTGCTTTCCTGGCTGGTTGTGCAGCAGATGTCTGGGAAACGGTTATTTTTTCCCTTCTCCTGTCTCAGGTAAAGCTAAAGCTGCTAAAATGTTACAAAATCTTTGCTGTGGAAGGCTGCAGGAGTATTCTGGGAAGCATTCTTATATAACTGCCTCGTGCTTATGCTGTTCCTTAGGCGTTCACAATTAGAATAAAGATACCAGTGAGGTGTGTGTTTGGTGTAACCTGATCCAGCAGTTTATCTTCAGATAAAAAGAGGTCAGAGAAAAATGCATTCTGATATGAGAACAACTTCTGTGGTTTTCCAGAGATCTGGATAATGCTGACCTACAAAGCCAGCCTATGTTCCTTCTCCTGTGCTCTGTTATTGGAGGACTTACATACGTGTATATGGGAAGGCAAACGTTCATCAGTGTGATCCCTCACATCCCTGAGTGTCATTCCAGGTCAGTTCCACAAGTCAGCATGGGGATCTTGGACAAAGCATTTTGCCTCTCTCTGTCCACTCCCTGTTTTCATAGCCAAGGTGATGCCTCCTGAGTTTTTGACAGATGCGCCCAAGTTACTTCACTAGTGATTTTGTGTTGAAGAGGCAACACTATGGTATTTTGCATCTGAAACTACAGCAGTCTGTACTTCATTTTTAAGCTTTGCAATGCTTGAAGCATCTCTGCTGTGTTACATTTGTTTGAAAGGAAACAAGCAATGTTAATAGGAGTTAGGAAGTGCTGTGGGCTGCTCCACCCATCCTTTCCCCTTTAGAGGGGCCACAGTGCAGTCTTAATGACTTTTTTTTTTTAAAGTGGTGTTTTCCCCTTTTAGTATTTCTTTAGGATTTCAACAATGTCTCTTGTTGCAGCAGTGTCGGGTTTGGGTCAGGGCTTTGCTCTGCTAGTCAGTGTAATACCTGTAGCTGGAGGTACAGGTACATTAATGCCCCAAGGCATTAATGATGTACAGCAGTGAGAGAGAAGGGAGATATTGTCATCTGTCTGGACATCTCTGTTCCACTGTTCTTGCTTTAAGGAAATATAGCTCAGTTTTGGTAGAAAATCGAGCTCAGTTGTCTGTCTCTGCATCCTCTCCTCAGCTGTGTGCCTGGCATTTGAGTTTGGTGCCAAAAGGGTGACTGGATTTGGTATTCTGTATCTCTTTGGTGACTGCCCACCTAAATGTAGGGCAGCAGTGCCAGGCCCAGGCTTGTAGGCTGCAAACTGCTTACGGGAGCTTCCAGCACGGCTGTGACCTCAGGAGCGAGTTAAAGACAAGGCAAAAGGGAATGTGAAGTACCACAGTGCCTCTAGAGCCAAATTTGCTTCATAGCATCAATCTTGAAAAACTAAAAGCTGAGGAGCAGCTTCTAAAATGAGTAACAGGGTAAAGGAGCACTGTGACCTGTCTCAGACCATTCACTGCAGTTAAGCGGGAGAAATGTCTCGCTTTGGGGAGCAAAGTGAAGAATTTTAGGGTTATTTCTGTGGCAGGGTGAGGCCAAGAATGTTTCCACATGGAGGCAGCAGAAACCTGGATGTGATCTCTGGTCCTTTTGGGCTTGGCACCCTCCTCTGTAAATAGATCCTCTGAGCAAAGGTTAGGAAAAGCAATCCCATTCCAGACAGACCCTGCCTCCAATTGGAATGGCCAGCCTCCCCGCTCCCATCCCTACCGGCATTTTGGCTGTTATCCTGGATGCTGGACACTAATCAGTACATTTGTCCCACCCCTTCTCCTAGGCTGGGTCAGTGGAAATGCATTTATTGGCCCTTGAGCCGCCCCTCTTTGAGTAATCTGGGGGGCAGAGTTACCAAGGAGCAGCCCACAAAGGATCTCCAAGGGATCCCCACAAAGTCCAGCTGGAATCATCTTCAGAGTCTCAGCAGCCACTTCTGGGGGGACTCCCTCTCCCAAGACCAGCAAAGACAGAAAGCCAACAAGTTGGTCCTACTGATCCTGTAACTGAGGTGACTAGTATTACCATGTCTCACTTAAATTTTTAAGAGTGCTGAGAGTGCTGAGTGCTGACTCAGCAACTAATCACCCCTAAAGGATAAAATATTATCTTCATTTGGGGAGGGAAACCCCAATCCTAATTTATCTTTTCTTTGAATTAGAAAGAAGAAAAACTTAGTACTTCAAGCAAGACAACAACTGGAACACTGTAACGGAAGGCTGAAGAGTGAGGAGCATTGAACCTGCAGCTCCATAGCAGGAAAAAGAGGAGATACTGCTATTTTAAGGTCATATGAAGCTGTGACAGATGATCTTGTATCTTTCTGCTGCCTAAGATTTCTTTGTTGCTCACTGTTTGTGCTGCTTTCGTGTTTAGAACCGCGGAAGGTCTGTAAGATGCTTCTTCGGAAAATCCAGCTTTGACATCCCTTCCCACAGTGGTTTGATTACTGGCACCAGTCTTCCTGTGGGCACTGTCAGCTGGGGAGTGCTGACCACTGGCTGGGTTTGGTCCATTTTTGGCTTCTTCCCTGTGAGTGCATCAACAGGCACGACCAGCTCCTGATACCTTCCCACTAAGATGGAAGAACTTTGGGTTGTGTATCTCTGCCTGATCTTGATGATCATCGTGCTTGTTCTAATGAAGCAAAACCTGCATGTGGAAGAGGCCAGGAAGGACAGGGAAAGCAAACCCTCCTCACCATCCTCTTCCTTTTCCCCCAGTAATGTCAGCAAACAACTGGAGCACACCCAGGAAGAGCTGGATAAGTATCTGGAGAGGCTAAACAATGTCTTGTTTGACACAGAAGCCAGGAGAAGGGATGGCCACCATGAGCAGAAGTCCCACCATCACAGAAGTGCTGATTTTGTGTCAGAAACTAAGGAGCACTCTCAGCACCTGTCAGGCTCCACAGAAGTCCAGGTATGAGCCTTAGAAAGACTGTCAGACTCAGCTAGACTTCGAGCTCCTGGCTGAGGTAGTGAACCCTGAGGAACTGCATAGTCCATGAAGTTGGACAGGGAAGAGGTTGGGGGAAGTCTTGCTGTTTTGGAGATAATATGTTCCTATTTTTGCACTGTTTATTTCGACATTAGGCACTCATCCAGAGACAGCTCTGTGTGACAAGTGTGGTATGTATGTTACACGTGAAGGATGTAAACATTGGCATTAGCACCCATGCATGTGTGTATATCCATGATGTAATTTACTCCTTCCCATAGAAATAGAAACAGGCATCATTTCTTACTTCAAGAAATTACTGTGCAGCTCTTCAGCTGTCTTAAGTCTCCCTCTTTGCCCACATACAGCCACATTTTGCCAGTTTGCCCAGCTAAGGGTCTGGCCCAGGAGGGTACAGGAGCTTTGCAGACACCTGTCTAGAGATCATTGCATGGTATTGAGCCATGGGAAATACTTCTGGAATATCTCTTCTGTGCATGATGATCATGCAGAGTGTACTATGTAAACATAAAAGGCACTATTGGCAACCTGCAAAAATTCCTTTGCCTTGGCCAAGGTCCTTTTTTAGGGGCTGAAATGATGCAAGGCTTTATATTTTTATCATGAACCACATCAGATTTTGCCCTTGAGATGACAGTTTTCATGGCAGCTCTGCAAGGCTGTGTCACTTTATGCCAGCAGCTGTTAGTATTCTTCATTCCTGAGACATGGATCTCACAGTGCCAATCCCCACCCCCAGAGCATGTCCTGGGTCCAGGTGAGAGCTCCAGCACGAAGCCTTCGGTGCAGAGGAGACCCTGATGTCAATAGTGGTGCCCTGCCCAGGAATCAAGAGAGATTTCTTGGTGAGGAAGGCACTGCTGTGAACAACCTTTGCAGTGAGCCAGGACATTATAATTTCAAAAGTCTTCTGGAGCTGCCTGAGCTATCTGGGGGAATCAGTACAGTCTGTTCAAGGCAGAGGGGCAGATACACAGTGTTGTTCAGAGCACATGGGCAGGAAGAGTAGTTCAAGTTTACTTAGTAATTCAGATTTATTTAGTGGCCAATTTCATTTACTGAAGAAGGTGCTATTTTATTAGATCTGCTACAGATCAAAGAATAGTAATGATTTTTCATTATGGAAATGAATCATGTTGCAAAATAACAGTGTTAGCTTATTTTTCTGTTGTGGTTAAAGATGATTGTGTTGACAAAATACACACTGGGGAGAAAAGGTGCTGTGATCCACTGTTTTCACACAGTTCAGTCTAATGCTAGGCACCTTCAGGGAATGTTCACTTGATTAGAAAAAGGGGGTACACTGTTTTCACACACAGAATCACAGAATGGTTCAGGTTGGAAGGCACCAAAGTGGATCATCTAGTCCCACCTCCCTGTTCCAGCAGGGTCATCCCAGAGCACATGGCAC